AAATAAACAATCTAACTTGAAGATAGAAATCTCCTGTTTCTGAAATATTACAAAAGAGAGACGGCTGGGTGGATTGCATTAACTTAGATTTTAAAAAGACATTTGGTAAGGTGTCTCGTAGAAGGCTATTTTGGAAACTAAAATACCCAGGTGGTGTCTTCAAGAATCGGTCCTGACGCCGATAATGTTTACTATTTTCATCAGTGATTTGGGGTCAAACATACGCCCAGGTAGACATCTGAATATTTTTTTTTTCAGATGACCTGAAATTACCAAAACATGATAGACGTCTCATGCTAATGTCTCCAAATTGACATCGAGATCTTATTCATGTGGAGTTGTAAATGGAAAATGGAATTCAAAACCAATAAATGCCATGCAGTCAGGTCTGGAGAAAGTAAAAATCGTCAACTAAGCCCATACTAATTAGGAGACTTAGTATTAAACCCAGCAGATAGGGATAAAGACTTTAAAATGATCATTAACAGGAACCTAAGCCCAAATGATCATATAAGTGAAAAGGTCAATCAAACTGCCGACATGAATAAGGCATTCGTGTATGTGGACGATGATATGATATAGATCATTACAGCCATCATAAGACCTAGTACTGGGTATGGTGCAGTGGTATGGAGTCCACACTTACGAAAACATAGACAAACAAAAAAGAGTTGAAAGAGCAGCCACAAGATGGGCTCCTTTTCAAGAAATATGAGCTAGGAAGAAAGACTACAGAAAATAAGACTTACTGCTTTGGAAGGAACAAAAGAGGTGACATGATCATGCTGTTCAACTGTGTTACAGGAAGAGTGAAGTTAGACAAGCTGACTTTATGATCTTGAACATAAGAAGGACGAGAGGACACAGTAAAAACTTGAAAGCAAACAGAGGCGAGAAAGAATTATTGAAACATGGAACAATCTTCCTCACACACACACACTTGTATAAAGGAGATAATATTTAATGTGCTGGTTTGTTTGTGTTCACGTTCGTGTTTATGCCACAAAATGTATGTCACTTCTGTGTATTGTATGTACTTACCAGCCTTTGAGTGCAATGGTGTGTGCATGTACCATTGTGCTTGCTTGTGTGTGTGTGTGCGTGCGTGTGTGTGTGTGTGTGTGTGTGTGTGTGTGTGTGTGTGTGTGTGCATGTGTGTGTGCATGTGTGTGTGTGTGTTTGTCTGTTTAAGTGTGTTTGTTTATGTGTCTGTCTGTTTATGTGTATGATTTTCTTTATATGTCTTTGTTTATGTGCGCGTATCTGCGTGTGTGCCTGCTTATGTATATCTGTTTGTTTATGTGTGTTTGTCTGTGTACGTGCGTGCCAGGCCTTGCGTGCGCCCGCCTGACCTCCTTCCCCCCGAGGCAGACTCCAGCTCCGAGTCCCGCAGTATTTATCACGTCCGTCACAGAGAGACGCTCGCAACCAACGCCCGCCAGAACCAATTTCATTTCTGTTAATTCTCTGATCAGGTTTATTGGACCTTTCATTTGCATAGTGACCCCCTCCCTCTCTCCTCTCCCTTCTCCCTCTTCCTCTCTCTCTCTCTCTCTCTCTCTCTCTCTCTCTCTCTTCTCTCTCTCTCTCTCTCTCTCTCTCTCTCTCTCTCTCTCTCTCTCTCTCTCTCTCTCTCTCTTCTCTCTCTCTCTCTCTCTCTCTCTCTCTCTCTCTCTCTCTCTCTCTCTCTCTCTCTCTCTCTCTCTCTCTCTCTCTCTCTCTCTCTCTCTCGCTCTCGCTCTCCTCCAATCCTATTCTCTCTTTCTCCATTCCCTCCCTTCCCTTTCTCCCTCTCTCCTATTCCCTCCCCACCCCTTCTCCCTCTCTCACTTCGCCCCTTCCCTCTCCCTCCTCTTTAAATCTTCTCTCTCTTCTCCCTCTCCTTCTCACTCATCCCCTTCCTCCTCTTCTCTCTCTCCACCTCCAGCTCTCCCATCTCTCCCAACTTCTCCCTCTATCCTTCCTCCTCACCACTTCTTCTCCTCTCCTATTCCCTTTTCTCCCTCTCTCCCGTTCCCTCCCCACGTCTTCTTCCTCTTTCCCCTCCCTCTTCCTCTTCCCCCTTCTCCTCTCTCTCTCTTCTCCTTCTCCCCACATCTTCCTTCCTATCACTTCCTCCTTCTTGCTTCTTCTCTTTCTTCTACCCTCTCTCTTATCCCACACTTTCCCCTCTCCTCTTCTCCCTCTCCATCTCCCTTACCCCCTCCCCCCCTCTCTCTTCGGCATGACCTTCGTCTGTCTGTCTGCCTGTCATCAGTTATGCATCAGCTGGAGAGAGACACTGTGACAGGAAGTGTCTCGTGTCAGTCATGAAAGGCATTTTAATCCTTCGTTTATAAACCAGCTTTAGACTCCATTAGCGTGCGGATATTAGAGAGAATTCGATGACGTAACTACCTGTCTCATATTCACGATATGAAGGAAGTTATTAATGAAGTACTGTGCATAGTTTAAGCTTATGGAGATATTTATTACAAATAGAAAGATACCAGAGTGGCTGTAAAGGCGTGAAGTGTTGATAATGAATCGAAAATTTGTGAGATGGAAGGATAGGGAAAATGTATTACAGTGGCGTGTTTCATCCTCTTCGTCATGGGGAGAGGGAGAAGGAGGGAGGGGGAGAGGGGGGTGAGGGAAATGGTCTACACACACGTCATCTGGAGGTGGGGTCGTTTGGCTGAGTATGTTAGAAACATGCTCCATTTATCTGTACATAAGACATAAAGGTTTTTAGGATTTTTTTTTACATTTATTTCGTATATGTTCTTATTTATTTACTATCAGGAAAAAATATGAAAGATATCTGACCTAAAAAAAATCTTAAATACAATACTCCGTTGCAACGAATATTTTACAAAGATATAGTTAGATTCATCACAAAAGAATTGCTCAACAGATGATTATAGACAAATCACTGTACTCGACCAAAAATAAATCGAAAGAAAAACATTTTATAAAAAGAAGAAGATATGTTGAAGCCAACCTAACAAGAAAAAAAAATCTATAGGCCTACTTCTTCCAGTTCTTAACAATGCGTACTCCGATCTTTCTTGGCCACCACCTGCACCTTCTGCCTCTCCTTCAGGAAGGTCATGCCCTCCTCTCTCTCCTTGGCTCCGTCCGCGCCTCCGGAACCCGCGAAGTTCCAGGGTTGCAACTCGGAGGAACAAGCGAAAAAGAAAAATGTTGCAGCGAGGATGTAGATCACGGTGGCCACCCAGAACGCCGATTGCCACTGGCCCGGAGTCTGTGGGCAGAAGGATAGACATGAAGGTAGTTGTTGTCGTTCTCTCTAGGCCAGTTCATCGTTCGCTGTTCGTTGAGATATTGGTTGATGGTCTAGGCAGAGACAACAGAGGTTTTGGTCTCTCTATTTTCAGTTCTTTTTCCATTCAGCTTCGTTGCCGTTGATTGGGAGAGTGGATATTGGGCAGCACGCACACCAAACGTGTGTGCGTGTGTGCATATGTATATATATGTGTGTGTGTGTGTGTGTGTGTGTGTGTGTGTGTGTGTGTGTGTGTGTGTGTGTGTGTGTGTGTGTGTGGGTGGGTGGGTGGGTGTGTATGTATGTATGTATGTATATATATATATATATATATATATATATATATATATATATATATATATATATATATATATGTATATATATATATATATATATATATATATATATATATATATATATATATATATATAAATGCACATAAACATACATACAGGCAAATATGCAAATATATAATTCATTGCAAAGAAAATTTGCAATTACACACACACACACCTGCCATCATTCATTTTCTGTGACCACTTAAGTCAGACACGCAGTTAATTCCCAATATGTGGTCGTTCCCACCAAAGGAATAATCACACAGAACGATGAAATTCTAATCTATCATATCAGTAATGGTTTTGCCAGGCACCGGAGGGTATTGAGTACTCGGCCGCAAGGGACGGAAAAATCAGCTGACATTCATATGATTAGTACTGGAGATCATAAATGCTTCGGGTTCATTTCGTTGTTTTTGTTTAATGATTTCTAACCGAATCTAATTGCAAATGAATGATTGCTAATGACAAGTGTGCACATGTCTTTTTTTTTTTTTACTTTGTTATTAATAATTTGCAATCTATATTATTATCGGAAGTTAACTAGAGTGTATACATACACATATGTATACATTGTAAATACATAAATACATGCATGCATACAGTCAAACGCACAGACAAAGACACACGCACTCACACGCACACACACCAAGGTACTCTCTCTCTCTCTCTCTCTCTCTCTCTCTCTCTCTCTATATATATATATATATATATATATATATATATATATATATATATATATATATATATATATATATAGGTATTCATTAAGAAAGGATTTGCTTACCTGGTCGGGTGTCATAACGCCTACTATAATAGGAGCCAACATAGCTCCTGCGAAGGCAAACATGTTACTAATGCCCAACATAGTTCCTGAAAAAAGAAGAGAAAATTTGATAAAATTTAATCTAATATAACATTTAATCCAAATCAGAAAAAAATCCAATTATATATTCCCGTAATGATATATTCTTTATGTTAACTATTTTTTTTTTTAATAATCCTCAAACTAACTCAGTTTTGGTGTGGATCAAATGTTTTTATATTAGGTAAATAATTTTAACGTGAAAATATTTTTGGGACATTTCTTAACGATAGGTTGTTCAAGTGTTATTATGATTCTTCGAAATATCATTATATTTTGTTCTACTTTAATTTAGAATTCTGTCTATATTGAAGTTCGTTTATAATTGGTTTCCTGTATTTGGATGTTCACACACATAATTATACAGAGAGCGTGTGTGTGTGTGTGTGTGTGTGTGTGTGTGTGTGTGTGTGTGTGTGTTTGTGCGTGCGTGTGTGTGTGTGTGTGTGTGTGTGTGCGTGTGTGTGCGTGTGTGTGTGTGTGTGTGTGTGCGTTTGCGTGTATCTGTGTGTGTGCGCGTAGACATATATGCGATATTATTCATAGCAACAGAACGGATTAAAACGTGCATTTTCTCATTTTCTCTTGCATGCTTAACTGGAATCCTCGGCTCTACATACTTGGTATGAAAATATTTGCAATAATACTGCTCCTCCTCCTCCTCCCCCCTTTCCCCTCATCCCTGCCTCTTCCCCTTTCCCCTCAGCCGTATCTCCTTCTACTCTTCTCAACTTTCTTTTCCTCTCCTTTTGCCTCATCCTTCTTTCTTCTTACCCTTCTCCCCCCCTCTTTCGTCTCCCCTCCTTTCCTCTCACCTCCCTCACCCCTTTCCCCCTCACCTTTCCTCTCTCCTCTTTCCCCTCCTTTCTCTCACCCTTCCTTCTTCCTTCCCATCCCATCCCTTCTTACCCTTTTCCCCTCACTTCCCTTTCTCATTTCTTTCCATTCCATCCCATTCCCCTTCCATCTTTACCCCTCCCCCTCCCATCCTCTCACCCCTCCCCCTCCCATCCACTCCCCCCTCCCCCCTTCCCTAAGCCCCCTCACCCCTCCCCCTCCCATCCCCTCATCCCCGGCCCATCCCCTCCCCTCACTCCCCTCACCACCACCCCCTCCCACCCCCTCACCCCTTCCCCAAGCCCCCTTACATACATTCTCCTTCTCCCAAAGCAGCTTAAACTCAAGTCTAGGGCAATTATCTTGGCAATATTAGGCGAGCACTGTCAAGGAATGTATGTATAGCTTATTGGACTTATAGCGAAGTTGATCATATTTTCGACATGGATTCGCAAATTGGCCAAAAGTTTCGGAGTTCATTTGCTTTATTGATCAGAAGCTGAAATAAGAAAAAAAAAAAAATGGCAGGTTGGGGGGGGGGGGGGGGTAATTTACCTAAATGTGGAAGTCTTTTTTTTCTCTCTCTCTCTTTTCTCCCTTTCTCTTATTTCATATTTTCTTTCTTTCTCTCTCCCATTCCCTCGCTTTATCTATATATCTATCTATCGCTCTTTATTAATCTATCTATCAACCCCCAATCCCTCTCTCTCTTTCTCTTTCTCTCTCTCTCTCTATCTATCTATCTATCTCAATTCTCTCTTTCTCTCTCTCTCTCTCTCTTTCTCTCTCTCTCTCTCTATCTATCTCTATCTCTCTCTCTCTCTCTCTATCTATCTATCTCAATTCTCTCTCTCTCTCTCTCTCTCTTTATCTCTCTCTCTCTCTCTCTTCTCTCTCTCTCTATCTATCTATCTCTTTTTCTCTCTCTCTCTTTCTCTCTCTCTTCTCTCTCTCTCTCTCTCTCTCTCTCTCTCTCTCTCTCTCTCTCTATCTCTCTCTTTCTCTCTCTATCTATCTATCTATCTATCTCCTTTTCTCCTCTCTCTTCTCCCTCTCCTCTCCTCTCCTCCCTCCTCTCTCTCTCTCTCCCTGTCTCTCTCTCTCACTCACCGAAAAAAATAGTCATAACTCCTTCTTACATTTCCCTTTGAATCAAATCACATATACAAATAGACGCATAAATAACACAAGACGAAATGAACGCAAACGCGAAGCCTGGAGTAATAACTAGTTTAGATTAGACCGATATTATCCTTCACTAACTTGATATTGCAGTCTTTGCTAATAATTCAACCATTTATTTGATCACATCTTTTGTTGTATTTGCCCGCTGATGACTATCCATGTAATAATGCATTGTTCTAAAATATGCAAAGTGCGTATATAGAAGCCGAAATGATTATGGCAGTTGTCGTATCTCTTTAAATTTAGACCATTTAGTGTAGGTGTTTGTGCATGTGCACACTTACATACACACACACACACACACATACACACACATATATATATATATATATATATATATATATATATATATATATATATATATATATACACATACATATTTGCACATGTGTGTGTGTGTGTGTGTGTGTGCATACATATGCATATACATAATATATATATACATATACACATATATGTATATATGTGTATATATATGTATATATATATATATATATATATATATATATATATATATATTTATGTATATATATATGTATAAAATTGCAATTCTACACTCTGCATTACCTAACTTCAGCAAAGTCCTCCCGACCTTTAAACCATCAAAAAACAAACACACATGAACCTCCCAAACCAAAAACATACAAAAAAAAAATACATAACAGAAACCCTAGCCTCTAGAAAATCTGTTACAAATCCTCGCAAATACGTGTAGGGATTTTGTCAGGTCCCTGGGAAGAATATTGTGCAGAATCACAGAGTTCAGCGAGCGTGCACGGGCGGCAGGGGCGGAAAACCCGGGAGTGCAAACCCCACTCGCTCTCCGTTGGGCTGCAAATACTCGCTCCTCTGTGGCGAGTGGGCGCAGGTTGTATCTGCCGCGATTTATTTATTATTTATTATTATAATTATTACTACTACTACTACCACTACTACTACTACTACTGCTGCTGCTGCTATTACTACTGCTACTACTACTACTACTCTTATCATATATATATATATATATATATATAGAGAGAGAGAGAGAGAGAGAGAGAGAGAGAGAGAGAGAGAGAGAGAGAGAGAGAGAGAGAGTGAAAGGGAGAGATTTTTTTTTTAGATTTTGCTACGTCTTCGGCTTCTTAGTTTTATCTTCTTCCACTTCCACTGCAGTTTTTCGCTTCAGCTTGAACTCCGCCCCTTCTCATAATTTCCGTCCTGGGCTTCACATTCAGCTCGAATCTTTTGACTTCAATGTTTGCTTCACCTCCAGAGTCGAATCTGTCTCTCTCTCTCTCGTTCCACATTCGGTATCAATTTCATCTCAGCTCCAAATCCACCTTCACTCCACTTCCCTCATCCTTCTTCCCCAGCTTCAGTTAAAGCTTCACTACCAGGACTGTTAAGCATGACGAAATCTTGCTGGAAATGCAATACAGGACGGAACAGGTGATGTGCATGACGTTCCTCCAACAGAAAGTTTCCGTTCTCGTTCTTTCGGCAAAAGTCCGTTTCTGTTCAGTGATTCTTTACCTTTACATGTACCACCTCATCTGACTCTACTTCGCTATTTACACCCATTTAAAAAAATACCATAAAGATATAGGGAAAAAAGGGAAACATAGACCTATCTCTATTATCGAGATTTATGCCTTCAATATGTTACGCAGGATAGACTTTCTAGCAAGACGTGGCAAATCAGATCCTAACAATAGTATTAATGCATCCCCTACTCTATACATTTACTCCTGGCTGGGACGTACTACTCCCACGGAACAGAGAACTCGATATGTCCCATATGTTAAACGAATATTGGTGTTATAGTCATACCTTATAAGCAAAATCTACGAGTTCTCTCTCCCTAAAACTCAAAGTTGAAGAGGTGATCTCCAGATGCCACTGATTTACTCATGATAACTATTGCCATGAATGAAGCTTTTACATTCATTGGGGAAAGCAAGAATGCATGGCAAGCCAACTTATGGTACTATTGCAATCTCTAATCATGTTTCTTAATCACACGTTTCCAAGCCTCACGTAATTTCTCTTATCTAAAAAAAAAAATCTTCATACTAACATGGAAAACCCTGTAACTGAAAGCAAATATTTGATTTCCTTGTGTGTTTCTTGTAGATGAAATAAGTCAGCTACTTGGCTGTGGAGCAAAAGTAGCATATAACCTTTACACTACATCCAGTTCACCGTAACCTCGGCCATCAGTAAAGAAAAGAAAAGAAAAAAAGATGAAAAAAAAAAAAAAAAAAAAAAAAAAAAAATATATATATATATATATATATATATTTATATATTTATATATATATATATATATATATATATATATATATATATATATATATATATATATAACATTAACAAATAAATAAATGAATAAGCAAATGTATAAATAAATAAGTGAATAAGCAAATGCATAAATAAGTAAACCAAATAGCAACTTGCAGTACTATCCATACATGACGTAAGTAAACGTGTCAATTCAATTCAGGCTCAAGACGAGGTTATGATTATGCATTTGATATCAAAGGGGAAGGTATGGAACAAGACCAGGGGGACCGGTTGCTCTATTTTCAAAACTTTATACGACAGATTCAGGTGTTCGGGGAGTGGGACTGAGACTTACATATATATCTAGGTAGCTTTATAGATAGATAGGTTGATAGACAGACAAAATTAGATAGATCAATAGATAAATAAGTAAATAAACAGACAGATAGATAGACTGATTGTTTGAGTGATTGATAGACGCTTGGATAAATAAATAAGTCGATATGTACATATATATATATATATATATACATATATATATTTATGTATGTATATATATATGTGTCTGTGTATGCATAGATAGATAGACAGAGAGAGAGAGATAGATAAACAGACAGACAGACGCATAGACACACAGACATATAGACAGAAAGAAATACACAAATATAAATGAACTAGATTGACAGATACAGACCCACGAAATATAATTCATTTATCTAGTCATGCACCTTTTAGAAGCAACGAAGGAGAAATACCATAAGCGGATGACGCGGAAAACACATGAAATATTTAGGTGTAGTTACGTGAACAGCCAAATTTGGGGAGAAAATGTTGGAGGGGAATTTTGGGTGAAAATTTGGGAGGAATTTTGTGCATAATAAGCAAATGTCAGAGCTACGGTTTTATGATTTTATGATGATTCTTTCTTCTTTTATCTTATTTATTAGCTATGTTTTATCTTATGAGAGGGTTAGAGTATAGTATCATAAGGGTGTTTTTGGCGTAACAATTTTTTTTCATTTAAAGAAATATAAATGATATAAAGTGATGTGAGGTTCTTTGTCTAGATATGGCTTTTAAGTGCTAAATCAAGATGAATAAAACAGATAGCCTTTAAAATTCATGTGTTAATGATGGATTGTATGAATGTATATATATATATTTTTGGTGTGTGTGGGGGGGAGGGGGGGTGTTACCATGTGTGTGTCCATTTGTAAGTCTATCTAGCATTCCATGACACTTGATGAACAAACTCCCCTCATATTCCCTAAATCTAACCCTCTTAGATCTCAGTATTGAGTATTGAGTATCTCAGTATCTCAGTATTCTCACCACCAAAGACACAAACAATGAGAGCTTTGTTCATGTATCCATCACTCAATCGATTCATACACACCCAAAAAGCCACTAAAATACCCATAATTCTCCTATCAACAAGAAAACCTCTCCTACCGGCGAAGTTGGGTGCAATATCATGCTGGTTGGCCACGTATCCGGATACAGTCGCGCCATTGGAGAATGTCCCGATACATAGGATGGTCATGGCGGCCGCGCTGTTGCATCCCACGTATCCTACAATGGCCAGCATCACGGCGGGGATACATAAGCCTGCGGGACACATACAGTGACACATATGAGGATGCATATACTTGGACACATCAATGGATGCATAAATCAGGTTATAATGACATAGGCATATTTACTAGGATATATATAATATGAAACAGATAAGGATATATATACGTCAAAACACACATCAGGATACCTATACTAAGATACATACTAAGGCACATATATGAATATTTGTACTAAGACATTTATAAGTACATACATATTAGGACACTCAAGCATACAGGTTATTTAGCAAATACAACTATACGTATACGAGAATACATATACCTGAGCCCCAACAAGGATACTTTCTAAACTGGACACATGCCAACTACGACACATACAAGTATGTATAAGCCCATTCCTGGACACATAGTGGAAAGGAATATTATAAAATAATACATTACTTCATATCAAAATATGCGTCTCGTTATGTACTAAAGGCCAGCTGATTTACGCAATTCACAATATTTATTTTTATACACACTAAGCTTACAAACGGCTAATGTTGATTATTAATATTCTATCCCCAACGTGTTGCCGAAATATATTTATGTATTGTTTCAAATAATGGTGTCAGTCTCATCATTTTATTTCTTTTCTTTTTTTCATTATATTCCAGAATTACATGTCCGTTCTGATTTATTATATCAGCTGCTGTGCCTGTGGGTGACATATTTTCTGTGTGATATAATATAAACTGATTATTAGATCTGATCCCATAAAGGTAACATATTCATTATTTCAAATTAATGTTTACAAATATGAATATATTTTCCTTTCTATAATGTAAAATAGATTCTAAATATATATTCTAACAGAGCTGTATATATGGACTTTTTTTATTCAATTCGGATGTCTATTTTTTTTTATCTACATAATACACAAAATACATTATGCAGCGTAAGTCTAACTATATTTTAAAATTAGTTGAAATTGATACCTCTATGTCAAGATCTCATCTATATAACCTATTAAACATCATCTATACCATTTTTATTGCATAACAGAGGAAAATAGATGTGTTTATCCATTTTGAAATAATATTCTGTGCTTATGTTACCTGCTTCATACAATAAAAAATAGATGCACATTATTCAGACAATAAAAAAGATATCTAAGTGGCATGGTGTAAACAGAATCACATACTCCTCATAAATTCTAAAATGAAGCATCCGTCCATATAATTCCTACCATGTATATGATAAATAAAACACATCATCCTTATTCACAGAGAAAACGCCCTTCCAGCTTCTCTCTCTCCAGTAAAGGCCGACCTGACTGTTGTAAACTCTATTCCCTCTTCCTCAGAGAGATAGGGAGTCGAGGCTGAGATAAACTGAAAGTCCTGAAGCGGAAACTGCAGCTGTATCTGACAGATCGGCCTCTCCTCCGACTAGAAATTAATCGTCAGCGTGCCCGTGTGCGATCGGAGTTTGCCTCAGCTCAGAACAAAACGATGGGTGTCAGTTTCTCTCGTCTAAAGGCTTGAGGGAAATCATGCTAGGTTGAAATTTGGGGAGGTGGGTGAGTGTCTGTCTGTTCTGTACTTGTTGTTTGGTCGCTGAGGTGTAAAAGCGTACATATTCGAAAGAGCAATTGTACGTGGATATATATATGCAAACACACACATAAATAAATAAGAATCAATACAAAAAAACGTGGTGACTAGCAATCCTGGACCCAAAAGCAACAACAACCAAACGACAGAACAGACTCAAAACTCAAAACCAACCAACCAAACTTAACAAAAGAACAAACACGCACCAAAAAAACACACACACACATATATAAACCCAAAACAAAGCTTCAATTTTTTTTTCTTTCTTTCTTTCTTTCTTTCTTCTCACGACCACTTCCCTTTACAAAGACCCCGTCATAGCTACCTATAGAAGTGAACAGCCGGCGAGAATTCCTCTTCTGCAGCCACTCCCGAGCCACCAGGAGGTCCCCGAGCCAGCTGAGACTGTTCCCACCGAGGTAGCGCGTCAGGAAGGGGAGGGAAGAGAGCAGGCCGTTCTGTGGAGGGAAGGGGGCGGGGTGAGGTCAGGGAGGAAGGAGGAGGGAGGGAAGGGGGAGGGGGAGGTGAGGGAGGAGGGAGGGAAGGAGGGAAGGGGAGAAAGGGGGAGGA